CTATCGGAATCGAAGGTGTCATAAGCTCAAGAAATGAAAGGTCAAGAGAAGTAGGTGATGTACTATTGTCATTGAGGGACTATCTAGAGTAATATGAACTATTAGGGTGTCCAAAAAGCCCGCCGGCACGGGCCCGGGATTGGATCGGAAACCTGGGCCAGACCCGGGCCCGGAATAGTACTTTTTTTTATTTTTTTATTTTCTTATATGAATAATATATGTATATATAGTAAATGTATATGTGTATATATATAATATATGTATATAATATATGTATATAAAGTATATGTATATAATATATGTATATATAGTATATGTATATATAGTATATGTATATAATATATGTATATAATATATGTATATATAGTATATGTATATGTGTGTGTGTATGTATAATAGAATTTGTTTATGTAATTACTATAAGTATTTACAATTTGTTTATGTATAATATATGTATATGTTTGTCAGTGTGTGTATATATATATATACATATACATATATTGAATGATATGAATACTTTGGGCTACTTAGTATATAAGTATATATAAATATATGTATATTCTCTCTTATATATGTATATATCTCTTATATAATTATATATATGTATAAGTATACTCTCTCTTATATATGTGTACAGTGTATACTCTCTCTTTTAGTAAATAAGTATATATAAATATACTCTCTTAGTATATAAGTATATATAAGTATAATCTCTCTTATATAAGTATATATATCTATCTATAATATTTTAAACCTTATATATATATATATATATATATATATGATAATATATTATATATATATATATATATATATATATATATATACTATATATATATATATAATATATACATATATTATATATATTATATAAAATTTCATATTTCTTGTATATATATATGTTTATGTATAATACAATTTGTTTATGTATAATATATGAATGACATGAATAACATGATTATTAATAAAAAAATTGTTTTTATCACCTTTTATTTTTATAATTTTTATACTTATAATTTATGTTATTTCAATTAATTAAAAAAATTTATGTTTTTTTTGTAATTTTTATGTATATTTTATGCTTTATTATTTTTTTTAATTTAAAAATAAAAAAACCAAGCCGGCTCAGAGCCCGGCCTGCTCAGGCCCGGGCCCGGGTCCGGGCTTCAGTTTTGCCCGGCCCGGGCCCGGTTTCCCGGGCCGGGCCTGCCCGGATGGACAGGTCTATGAATTATGCTCCAAAAAAGTCACATCTCGAAAATGCGAAGTCTCTTTTTAGTTGGATCATAACAACGATATTCTTTGTGGTCAAGATTGTATCCAAGAAAAACACAAATCACAGAACGAGGAGATAACTTATCTCTTTCATGAGATGGTAATAGAACTAGACAAGTACAACCAAACACATGAAGATGTGAATAAGAAGGACAACAGTATGACAATTTTTCAAATGGTGATATCCTAGAAAGAACTGAAGAGGGCATCAAATTGATGAGATACACAGCTGTAGCAAAAACATCAACCAAAAATTGTTTAGGCATGGAGCTAAAAATGAGCAGTGATCTTGTAGTCTCCATAATATGACAGTGTTCTTTTTCTGAAACACCATTTTGCTAATGTGCATAAGGACATGAAAGCTATGAGAGAGTATCCTGATCAGCAAGAATACGACAAAACTCATGAGAGAGATATTCACCACCAAAATCAGATCGAAAACTCTTAATGGTAGTCTCAAATTGGCTTTTGATCATAGTAGTGAAATCTTTATAAATTTGAGGTAAAGATGAGTGGTGATGCATAAAATAAACCCAAGTGTAATGACAAAAGTCGTCAATAAAGATAACATAATATTTATTACCATTACAAGATGACAAGGGAGCTGGGCCCCAAACATCTGAATGAACAAGTTGAAAAGGGAAGCTACTTTGAGACTCACTAAGAGGATAAGGTTTAGTGAGTTGTTTAGATAGTTTACATCCCATACAAGTTGACAGACTTGAAATTGGATAACTACCTAAAACACTATTATTTGAGAGTAGGCAAAGACGATCAGTCGATAATGACCTAATCGATGATGCCAAAGGTCTCCTATGAAAAAAGCATTAGCGCAAGTGGTGACAGAATGTACGGATGCGGAATGGGTGATAGAAGTGGATTGTAGTGTTAGATAATCCATAACGTAAAGTCCATCACGCCTATATCCCTGACCAATCAAGGCTCTGGTTTGATGATCCTGCACATAACAAGAAGTAGAATAAAAAACCACAATACAATTATGATCAGTTATTTGACTAATTAAAAGTAAGTTCAATGAAAGATATGGTATGTGTAAAACAGATGGAACAAATAAGCGACTAGTAATAGATCCCTTATGTGTAGTAGAGAAAGTAGAGCCATTTGCTGTAAAAATATTGACTTGAGAAGGTAAAGGTAATGAAGAGGATAAAGCAGATGCATGTGGAGTCATATGAAATGAAGCACAAGAGTCTAGTATCCAAATATTTTTTGGTATACCTGTGGGACCAGAGGTAGTGGAAAAAGTATTACTAGAAGTACCAAATAGAGAGGGTGTAAGAACACTTGGAGCAGCAATCGGAGAAGAGATAGAAGTACTCCGCCCTTGGAGCATCTGGATCAATTGTGACACAGAAAGAGTAACATTCGAAGTGGATTCCTCAGAAGCACCAGAGAAAGCAACCCAGTTTGTACAACACTCATCAGCAAAATATTTGTCACCATAAATTGCCATAGTAGCAGTCGATCGTTGATGAGGATGTCGGTTTGCAGCCTATTGTTGCTTAAAATAATTTTGAATGATATGTCCAGGACAATGACAATATTGACAATAATTATTCCTTTGCTTGCTGAAAGGGACTGATGGTGCTGAGATAGTGACCGAAGATGACTGTGGTATACATGACTGTTGATCAACAAGAGCACCTTGAATAGAAGTAGTCTTTATGTTCAGGACACGTTGGCGAGTTTCTTCAGCGATGAGTTCAGCCAAAGCATCATCAAGAGTTGATAGTGGTGACTGATGAAGAATTTGATTGGCAATGACTCATACTTAGGTCGCAGACGCATAAAGAATTGAAAGAGTCAATGTTGATCGTGAACACGATGCTGCTTGGTGGCACATGCAGAAGCCGCACAAGTTTGACACAAGGATTCCTCCATTATTGCAAGTTGGTGCCATTGAGCATGTATAAAATTATAAAAATTTTGGATGGATCGCTCATCTTGTTGAGCAAAAGAGAGCTTTTGGTACACAGAATATGAGTGGGCATGACTAGATTCTTGATAAAGTCCTTGCAATTGGAATCACATGGCAAGTGCAGTCTAGAGACTAACAAGCTGCATGTGGATGTCAATCTCTACGGAGGAAGAAATAATGTTACGTGCTTGGCGGTCTGTAAGAGCCCATGCCATTATTTGCTTATAATCGGCTCCAGATTGAGGAGACGATATGCCATCAATATGACTCGTGAGATCGAGAGCATCAAAAAGATGTTGCACATAAATCGACCACTCATGGTAATTGGTCCCTGTAAATTTCACATCAAGCTGAGGAAACTTCTCAATAAAATTTGCAGCCATGGTTGTTTTTTTGTCTCTCTCTCACACAGAGGGTAAAAAGAGGGGCTGCGGGTTGAGAAGGGTTCTCAAAGAACCCTTGTTGGCGGCAGAAATCTAAGTGACACCGAATGAGGCGGCGAAGTCAGAGTCGGACCAGATCGGTCGGTCAGAGGTGAGGAAATTTGTTATTTGGCAGTAGATGGAGATGATGACGACGACAATTCGTCGATGGAGAGCCGAGGGAAGCGTCATAAGCTCGATAACTTTGAATTCATCCCTTGAAAGCCATTGCCTTTGTCGGTCGTCGCTAATTCGAAGATGGAGAGAAAAGGGATGAGATTCGAAAAGGGACGAGATCACTGTGATCAGAGTGGATGTCGTCGCTGGAGTCGAAATGGACTCGAATGGCGAGGACTGGATTGGATCGACAGTCGATCCCGTAAGAATCGTCTTGAACTCGTCCTTGAGGTGAAGCACGTACTTTTGCAAGAGAACGTTGGCGCTATCGAAGGCAGGAGGTTCAAGCTCACGAATCCGATCAAAGAGAGTCAACGGCGAGAGGCTGTGATGAGGGCCAGCGAATCCAACCTGGTTGGATATCCAGTGCGCGACAGCATAGGACTTGGTGCCTGCTGAATTTAGGATTTTGAAATTAGGGTCTGGATTGATTTGAGATTTCTGCTCTGATACCATGATAACTGAGGAAGAATTATTGAGCAAGAAGGCTTAATTGTATTCCTTCATTAACCATGAATATATACAAGTTACATAATACAAATATAGTATGAAATAATATAATTATTTTAGCATATTCTCCATCTTAATAAGGTATATAATCTCCTATATAAGGTATGAATATAATATACATATAGGAATAGTATCCAACTCTATATTCCTAACACTTCTATCACTCTGTTTCGCATAGTTTCTCCACTTCTCACCAATCTTCAGGATAGTTTAACTATTTATTTTCATTTCAATAACTACTTATAATAATTTCTACTAGTTTATGGGGTGGAGTTGCTGTAGTTATAAAGTTTATAGGAACTTTGTTCAAAATATCCCAAAGTTCACGGAGATTTTATATCTTGTTCTTCAATCTATTAAGTGGATTTTATATTACCTAACTTCTTTTTGGTAATGCCAATACATAAAAAAAAATTCAAAAAAGCAAAACATATAGTATGGAGTAGGTTTTAACCAAAAGAGAGATGAAATAAAACTAGCACGTAGAGAGGAACCAGTATATGCCCTGAGCACAAATTTAGCTTTCAATATCATCATGTTGCTGGTTATTTCAATAATGTGTTTTAGTTTATGCATAGTAAAATTTTTTTATCATAAGTTCATTTTCTTTAATATACGCTTCATACAAAATTAACGTGTCCATTGATATAATGACAAGAAATCTATATTTACTACAGGCTGTTACAATGATCCATTTTCCAGCACCGTTATCCTTGTGCTCCATTACCTCATTATTGGGTACGATTTTTACTGTATGCATACAAATCGTCACGGAAGGAAAGGTGAATTCTGGCACTACTATAAGCAACCTGCGAAGAATAATTATCTTTATGCTACTGGTATGATTCAAGTCAAATATGAAAGACTATTATTTGTTTTGTTTTCCTGGCATAGTTGAGCTACACTACTATAGATTTTATTCATATAGATCCAAATTTAAATTTTAGATTCTCAAATTGACAGTGCATACTATTGGATTTGGTGTAACATGCAACGACTAGCTGAAATTTCAGTTATTTCAATGTATTTTTAATCATATATCAAGAGTGAAAATTTATTCGAGTTTATGAAAATTTGGAAGAGTTGATTTTTTAATGACAAGGTTATGGATATAACAAGTTAAAAATATCCAAAATTTTATTCTACATAGATACTTTGCATGATTTGAATTTAAAAATCCAAATTTTAAATTTTGATCTATAGTATCCACATCTCGAATACTATCAATAGTAAACCAGCTCAACTGCTACTAAGAATGCTCAACTAATTAGTGCTTGATAATATTTTCTAATTGCTTATTGATTTTTTGCAATTTGTAGGGTGGAATGGTGATTGCCATGTGTGTTTCATTTCAGACATGGGCGGTTAAGAAGAAGGGACCAGTTCTTGTGTCAATGTTCAGTCCAATTCAAACTGTTTTTTCAGCAATTCTTTCAGCAATTATATTAGACCAAGATATCAAGATAATAAGGTATTATGAAAAACAAAGGGAATAATTTATCATTCCTAGTACAACCTTATTTTATGCCATACAAATAGAAACTCAAATTGTTAGCCGTCGCATCCAGCAGCCAAATTAGGCTGAAACTAAAAGATTTTTGTTAGGAAAATGTTCAGCCAATTTTCTTTTAGTGAAATAGTTAAGAAAATATTTCACTGTATGTTTATTCTGTAAGCAATTAATTGAAAATACTTATATTTAGTTTCATGTTCTCTGGACTTTACATGGTCTTATGGGCGAAGAAGAAAGAAGAATTCCTCATTTGTAATGTTGATGATGACATTATTCTACCCATCAATGACGTTGAAAAACCACTTTTACCTTAGTTTCTCTTTCAAGAGATGAACAAAAGTGTATATATATAAGAAGGCTTCTGTACATAAAATAGTTACAGTATGAATTAGCGATTTTCTTTTTGGAATCATTGTTTTTTTTAATTTAATTATATTTGGTTACCATTTGACATTACTAGACTCTTTATTGACATATAATTCAACAAAATTGAATTTTCAGAATTAAATAATATAAGTTACAACTCAGAATCGACCTAACAGGATAGCATTAGGAGGACCAAAAAATGGGACAGCTGCTAGGGGATACGTGACATGGTTGTCCAAGTGTACAACAAATCTTCAAGTCACAAATAAAAAATAAGGGTATTATTGTATTTACACCCAGGTCATATTTTTCCATCAATAAACCCCACACAAAAAAAGAATATTTTCCCCCGAATCTACTACGTGGACCCAAAAAATTGTTCTTCTATGATTGTTATCTCACGGTCTCGGTCTCGTTCTGTCGTCCCCCGTGATTCCATAATCGCCTCTGATCTATCATGATCATCAACGCGGCCATCACCACTACTTTTTGCCGAAATATCCAACGACAACTGGAGGTTCTCTTTGGGATGAGAACTGGGTAGCAAGATCGATCGGTCATCACATTTATCAACATGATTATGAAGATTTGAAGATTATTTGTGCTTATTGAAGAAGAGATTGTGTAAGGCTCACGAGCCTCAGTTCACCTTCCTGAGCCCATCCCTGGCTATAGTTGTGATCTCAATAAAGCTTGAAAGAAATTAGACAGATAATTTAGAGAGATTTGAGAGAGAGAGACAGAGAGAGGACTAAGAGAATACTGTAAACTTTAGAAGAAGATTTCTGTTATATTTCTTGAATTCATTCTCTTACAAGCTCCGCATTTATACAGACAATTCAAGAGATCACAGCATGTGCAAGCTGTGCACGTGCACAAACAGAACTAACTATGTAGAAACTAGAACAAACAATGTAGCAACAAGAACTAACAGTGTACAAACTTGAACTAACAGTGTAAGACCCAGAACTAACTGTGTGTAACAGAATTAACTAGACATTTATTACAACTCATACATAGTTTCAGCAAGCTTCAGGCACCTCAACTCCAGCTACTGATAATTTCCTGTTGGCCTTTTTGTTTTGATGATGTTTTAACAAACAATTTACAACAAATATTGTTTGTCTAGTATGTGTGTGTATTTTCTTATTTATTCTAGGCAAACAATGAGTCGGAGGTTGGATGGAATTGCGCCATAACGATCATATCAAATGGAGGCTGGCGGAATATCTGAATGAAGCAATATATTTCAAATCAAGATCCAAGATCAAGCTTCATCCGTAAAGTTTACCAAGAAGAGCTTATTGAAGACCAATAGCTTAGGTAATTTAGTTTAGGAGATTATACTTATGTGTAGATACTTCAAGCTCAATCAAATACACATATTATACACACACACACACACACACACACACACACACACACACACACACACACACACACACACACACACACACACACACACACACACACACACACACACACACACACACACACACACACACACACACACACACACACACACACACACACACACACACACACACACACACACACACACACACACACACACACACACACACACACACACACACACACACACACACACACACACACGTTTTGGTTTTTTGTTTTTAAGTTTAAATATAAAACAAATAAATATAATTAGAAAATACATACTTGTTTCATGTTTATATGCTTATATATGATATTATCAATATGAAGTTTATTTAGTTCAATGAAATCATGTTTATTGTTTTGAATATTTGCAAAACATGCATTTTTATGAAAATATTGAGTTATTAATTTATGGACTAAATAATCATTATATACATCTTTTATTAAGTCTATATAATTATTTTATAAAGTTTTAAAATATGATTTAGTCAAAACGTCAAATTTCAAGTATGTTCATTTTCATGTTTTGGACTAGTTTTAAAAAATGATAAGATTTTACAATTGGAAAATGAAATTCTAAAATTTCTTTTTGTAACATGTTTATTATCATGTTTACAATTATTTTCCAAAGTTTTCTATTTTTTAGAATTTATTTGCTATTTTTAAAAGGTATTTTAAAAATCAGATTTTAAACATGAACAGTGCATGTGCATGTTTTTAAGTCGACTTATAAACCTTGACAAGTCGACTTATGATCTCTTCTGGAATGATCAAAATTTCCTCTGCCAAGTCGACTTATCAGTCATCACAAGTCGACTTATAGTCTTTTATAAGTCGACTTATGTCTTGTTTTCTAGTTGTTATTTTCGTCTCATAAGTCGGCTTATACTTTATATCAAGTAGACTTACACTAAGTCAACTTATAAATCTGACTGTTGCATAGTAACGGCTATTTCTAGATTTTATGTATTTTAATGATTTTTATTGGTTTTTGGGGTTTTCTTAGGCTAGTTTTTTCCACCCTATATATACCCCATTGTCATAACTATTTTGACCTACCTAAGAGAGTTTAAAAAGAAGTTTTAAGTATGATTTAAGTTTGTTTAAGTTTTTGTTTACAAAATTGGTTTTGTGAAGATTATTTCACAAGAAGAGGAGATCACCTTTGGTTTGAGCTTTTCATTTCACATCTCCATCACTCTTGATTTATAGAGAAGTTTTTCTAAACTCAATCTAGCTTTACATTTATATATTTGTTTGATTATTATTTTATTAAGCTAGAGTTTATATTGAGTTTAATTTTGATTTATTCTCTTTGTTACACCCACCCACATTAAGCTTTTAGTATTTTGTACATAGTATATTTGGGGTTGTGAGATTGTAACATTGAGTTGGGATTAATTGAGTTCTCACTTTGTATAGAGAACATTCATTTGTTGTTGAGCTAATTTGTGAGATCACATTGTATTGCACAAGTACACTAAGAGGAGTGTAGAGGTAAGAGACGTGGTCGGTTGCAAGAGGAGTGACGTTGGTAGTAAAGCCTGGTGAGATGTAGTAATTCCGAGCACTTGAGGGAGACACGTGAAAGGCCAACAATTAAAGTGGTAGTTGTGTAGTTATATTATGAATGATTGTGAACGTTGATCGGTGAGCATTAAAAGTCGATATTGTATGGTGTAAATGTTTTCGGGTGAGCGTTGAAAACCATGTGTGATAGTGGATTTCTCCTCGGGAGTGGGGAGCAGAGACGTAGGACAGAAGGTCCGAACTCCATGATCATATTGCTTGTTTGAGTTTACATTAGCGTACTCTTTTTGTTCATCTTATTTAGTCATTACCTCTTTGTTTTTAGTTTGTCAACTATATTGTTTATATTTGTTTGTTTTACCCTTGTGTTTTTTTGTATATCCTTGCTCATATATCTTGTTATATATATCATAATTACTAGGATATTGTTATTTAGTTTTATTTGGTATTAAATCGGATTAGATTAGCATAAACCCTATTCACCACCCTCTAGGGTTCTTTCCTAGTGGCATTAGGGTCTAACATTTCTCCCTCTTAAATTTGACCTTGCCTCAAGGTTAAAGGTTGGAAACCACTTAATCAAATCCCAATAGGATTCCCAGGTAGAATCCATTGAAGGCTGCTGCTTCCACTTGATGAGAACTTCAGAAACTAATCGATTTCCTTTTATGACTGATCTTCTATCTAAAATTGCTTCAGGTTCATCAACTATCTTTGCCACATAGCTTGGCAAGTCACTCTGTAGGACAACATCAGAACCTACCCTCCATTTAAGCTGAGAGACGTGAAAAATAGGGTGGATCCTAGCTTGCTCAGGGAGATCTAACTTGTAAACTACCTCACCTATCCACTCTAAAATCTGGTAAGGACCATAATATTTGGGAGAGAGTTTGTGAGGTTTTCATGAAGATACACTGGCTTGCCTATAAGGTTGAAGCTTGAGAAAAACCCAATCACCCACATCAAAGCTCTGACGACTCCTGTGTGTGTCTGCAAATTTCTTCATATGCTCAGCTGTCTTCTTCAAACTATCTTTCATGAATTGTAAAACTAGATCTCTAGAAAAAAGAACCTCATACGCCTTGGTGTGAGTTGGAGTGGCATCAATCATAAAAGTTCTAGCAATATTCAAACAGTAGTTGCTATATCGTAATCCAATTGCGGTGATCATACTAGCCGAATCATAGAATAAATAATCATCATTGCTTGATAAACTTGGCTTCAGATCAAACTTGCTGCCGCTCTGATATATTAGCGGGTAACATATATCAACATTTTCTGCCTCTAGCTTCACTTTGACCTTGAACCTGTCAAAATCATTCAAGGACGTTCTCCGCCTTCTACACCATAAACTTCCTTCCCTAGGAGCTGTTCTTCCATTTGTTCTTCACATCAGCAGCTTCAATTACAGCAATCAAGGACTTCTTTTTCGGGATCCTTAGGATGTTAATCTTAATATCAGTCAGGGTTAGCCTCTTAAAATTCATCTGGCCACGTACCATGTTTGGGGCATCAACCAGAGCTCTGTTCTGATTGAGGACATCAATGATTACGACAAGCCTGCCATAATCCTTTCCGTAGTTATCGAGCACCACTCTCCTAATCTCCACGTAGCGTTTGAACAACATGGCTGCTACTGCTTGGGACGAACCAATCTTAAAAATCTGACCACCAACTTTTTCCTCAAGCTCGGCCCTCGAGATCCCCTCAGGAGGCACCACTAAAAAAACCTGAGCCTCAAGCGATCCGTTCAAATCATACAACGCCGTCTTCTTAGTCTCCTTCTTCTTGCTTGAGATTGGCCATGGTAGGTTCTTGAGCTTTGTCTTTCTATTGTTTGAGGATGGCCATGGCAGTTTCTTAA